AAATGGATTACTTTTTATTTTATTTTATATATAAAAATTGTGGCAGGATATATAATTAGTGCAACAAGGTCAAATGAGTTGAATAATTTATTCGGTTCGCAATTAAAAGCAGTAATGCCGAGTGGCTTTGAAGTAGCATAACGATTTTCAGGTAGACGCCTCTCTTCCTAGAACCTCACACAAGCAAAGTAATTAAAGGAAGTGGTACTTTTCCGTTCTTTGAAATACACAGCCGTAATTTTTCAAAGGCCGTGGCCGTTTAGAAAGGATTAAACGCGTTAAACCTTAACGCATACCTTACTTTCTTTTGCAACCATATTTCTTTTCTAATAGCAATAAAACTAGAAGATAATCACCCTAATCGTTCTAAAAGCACGAAAAATTTGGAAGTTAGCTTTGACAAATAAATATAACGCAATTATACCGGAATGCTTAAAATTGTGATTCAAGCGTCTCTAGCTATATTTTTTAATACATTATTTACAAATTTAGTGAAAAAAGTATTGGTGTGCACTATTGATCAATAAATCGCTTGTCTTGAAAATCAACGATTATTAAGCAGTTAAATTATTTGGGCAAAAGAAAAATGCAAGCGATTGGAAGGAGAAGATCATAAACCGCAAGGTGAGAAATCGAACTTTTACAATAAGAAGAATGGCGAGAAAAATCAGTTTAACGAACTAACACCTAACGAACGTATTTCCTTTCTTCTTTCCCTCTCTCTCTCGCTCTCTTTTTATTCCCACCCTCCGTATCGCTTTTTTTTGTTAGATCGAAGGCGATGCGCTTAGCGATCGTTCTATAGCGGGGCGAGACTCAATTGGGTTCTGGACCGCGGTTATCCGTTTATCGCTATATAACCGCCGAGGGGTTGGCGAGACGGATACATCCCCGCGAAAGGAGAGCGATTAATCACGTTTTACTCGACTCCAAGTCGGACCGACCAATTTGGCCGGAAAGGTCGTTGTTTGCTCGATAAGGCGCGCACCGGGGGGTGGAAAAGCGAAGCCGACATTGCCCCGTGGAACAATCGACGAATCTCGTCGGTGATCCTCGATATAGACAAACAATCTTATCCGGTCACCGACGTAGGAAAACCTCCGTCGCGTTTGTTCTCTCTTTTTTCTCTCTTCCTCCGTACTCTCCATGGAACCGATTCACGGAGTCAAATCTTCACCAGAGTCTACCTCCCCGATTCTGCGTCGGTTCTGGACACGTCGGAGGATGCATTTTTCATGATGCATCTGGAAACGCTCGACTTGTAGCGTCTTACCGCGCTGGATAAGGCATTTCGGTTTCTTTATGGCGTGAACGTGAGATGGTGTTCCTCGGCGGTTGGCAAGGATATCGTTTTACGACATTACGCGGCCAATTTGATAGTAATTTTCGACAATGCGCTTTAGTTTTCAATATCCATCTAAAGAGACGATAACCTGCGCAGAACAAGTTTTAAAAGTATATAAATAACGGAGAGTCATCCGTTTTATTTTTTCATGCTTCTCTCTATTTTATTACTATCTGTAGATTCGATTACACTATCTTTATTAGATTTATTCGAAAAATTTACATAAACGGATTTACATAAACTTTATTTTAATAAGTAAATTATTTAAGCTGTTTGAGCAATGACAGCCAGCAATAATTCGTCCAATAATTTTGTTGAAAATATATTAATACTGTTTTTAAACTTAAAATATAACATTGTTTCGTTATTTATTCAAACCAAATTTCTATCGATATCGATGCTGCGGAATCGTGGATATATATCTTTATTCGTGTGATCTCTAACGGAATAAAATCAAACAACACCGTCGAGACTCTCCGCCAGTATCTCTCGTCCCCTTCGCCTCTCTTCTCTCTCTCTCTTTCTGTCTTTGAGCGCGTATCTCTGTCTCTATCTATATCTGTGTGAAGAGACCGGAGGCCCGCAAGCGGTAAATTAATTCGAACGACAAGCGCAGTCGGCGCTTCCACTCGCGCCGAATAAACATCAGGGCCAGAAGTTGACCAGACTGGGGCGACCCACGTTGGAGGACCCGCCATATCTGGGATCTACGTGCCCATTTCCCGTGGCCCGTATAACGTATTTGGCACCGATCCTCCGCTGCATCTGCATCGGACGTCGTCGGCGTTGCACAGGACGGATTATAGGACGTATATCCCGTCGATTGCAAATTGCGCGACCCTATCTCTCCGGATCAACGTGATCTACTTTCTCGACTCTTTTTTTAACGCTGCTGTTAAGTGCTTAACACCTAAAGCAATAATGGTGATATATTAATTTCATATTGGTGAACAAGAAAAATAAGCTTTAAATCTCTGTCTCAGAAATATAATAATGAAAAGAATTACAAAATACTTATCTAATGTCCGATTATACTCGCGTTTCAACTACTTACTCTAATATTTTTACTTTTTCTGACGCACGTTGTTATGTTTTAATGAAGTATAATTTTTTATATGCAATAATGCGAATTCAAAGTATCTTTATATTCAAACTTTAAGTACTTTTAATGAATGAATCGCTTTATTCTTACGGTCCATCTTGTAACTAGAGACCCGGTCGTGCTAAGGGCTAAGTGACGAAGCCAGATTGCAATGGTAGATTACCGGAGGAGCTAACTACGTCCGTGGACTCTGTAATCTAAACAAGCTATCATTAATTTTAGTACGTGTGGTGGATGCTCCTCGTATACCAATAAACATCAGAGACAGGGACCAGGCCCGTCGGCGTTTCTGACGCACTTTGGGTGCAGCAGCATATTCGAGATATACCGCGCTCGCGTTCGTATAATATACGTATATTTAGTATCCACGGTATCTCTCTCTCTCTCTCTCTCAACACCAGATGTTGCCGTTCGCGCGGTTCGGACTTCGCGACGAACGTTCGTTCATTATTTCGCGACTAACTCATGCTAATTTTGAATAAACTCGGATTTGAATATTTCGTATTTGCGCGCGCTTTGCCAAATGCGCGCTTTCGAATGATTTATGGCTGAGTTGCTTTTAGCTGCTTTACGCGAAAAACATCAAAGATAGAAGTTAAATAAATAAAATTTAGGAAATCCGAAAAACAACAAACAATCATCATTTCTAAATCGTCTAATAATTCAACATTCTAATTTCTAGTTGAGAGAAATATTTACAGTACCGTATATTCCTTCAATATCTTAAAAATTTTGAAGCACAGCTAAAAAAGTTTTATTTTTATTTTATACGTATGTGTTTTTTTTAAATTGCTTTATTTTTAGATAAAAAGAATTCCATTAATCTATACTATATCATTATGAGATAAACATAAAAATTAATTTGATATTTAAAAGCATGACAATATTTATTTGTTTAAAAAATAATTATATATAATTTATCTCTTTCTTTGAAATTTTTGGAGAATTATTTTAATTGCGTGCAAACTATATTTCATACTATTTCAACTTATCACCGACGCAATCGTCGATGGTCGGATAATCGATAAGTTTTGCGCGGTATAGTACTACATCTCTACTATCTATTGCTGGAATTATGTCAAGATCGAGTACGGTTGAGGTTAAATCGAATTTGTAGCATTGAGTCGATTGTTCGAGCAGTTAATCGGTACATCAATCACAGAAAAAGGTAAGAGCAATTACGTAACGGTACAAGCTATTAAGCTTTTATCGCGATCCTTTAGGTAAACAGTATTCAGGATATCTATTTAAGATCAAATAATTAAGTAGAAGCTACTTAACTATTGTATACATACATGTTAATAAAACACAAAATTTTCTGTTAATCTTTCTCTTGATTGTTAGCAATTTAAAAGAGATAATATATTTAAATTAATATATTTAATAAGAATACAATTAATAACATTTAATCGATTCAATCGTTACTAAAATTCGTTAATCTAATGACATTCTTAACTGGACATATATAGATACGATTTTCCTCGCTGTTTGCGGTATTCGAACGCATAATTTGACACAAAATGCGTTTCGTGTCTTTTGATTATTCTAGCGTTCATTATTTGTTTCAAAAATGTATTTTTGTAGAAAATAAGGAAGTCGTCGTTTAATAAGGAAACGAAGTTTAATAAATGTTTGACAATCCGTATTTAGATATCGCGTACTAAGATAGAATAAACCGGTGCAATAAATCTCGTAACGCGGTACGGGATGAAATATTTGCAAAAAAACCCGCGATCGCTTCTTCTCTATTTACTGCTATTGGATAAACATTCGGGCAAGAATCTGACAGCTCGACGGTGGATAGCGCCGCGCTTCCCGGAGCAAAGTGGTATACTCGAGCTACACTTTATTTATTTTCCGGACCGCGGATATAACACACCGTTGGCATTGTGCCCCCGTTGCATCTGCGTTATTGCTCGTTGTCGGGCACAACAGATTTCGTATTGGACACCTTTCACAATGTATCGACTCTCGCGTCAATCGCAATAAGCGTAGCCCGATGTAATGGACCAGGAATGATATATGTGACAGATAGTTGCTGCTCAAAATTGTGCATGTGCATCTCCATTTTCTTATTGTTATCGATCGCTCGGTTAAATAAATGCATTTTGGCATTTTTTTCTCGACACAAGACGCGAGACAATATTTTCTGACGAAAGTATTTTTATGCATGCATTTATTTCAACTGTATAACTAATATTATTCAACTATACAATAACAAATAATTTGACATACTAAAATAACATGTTTAGGTAGAAATTTAAAAATTTTCAAGATATTATTTGAAGTTTAACTGAAAAGTCTTGGAAGCTAACTTTACAGAGTAATACGTATAAAATATCCATCGCATATTGAACATTATTTACTTCCTTTGCGAGTTTTATATGCACAATACATAGTTCGAAATGTGAATAGCGTGTCTCGTACATTTCTCGGGAAATTCTAGATTTCACTCGCGTCAGTTTTCTCGAAAATTCCATCGAACCGTTTCGACGGAGAGAGAGAAGTTCTTCTTCTTTCGGGGAAGGGAAAGGAAAAGTTGAAGTCACTCACCGATTGGCACGTTGACAGCGAAGAGAACGACAAGGGCGCGATGGCAGAGCATTGTGCGCTGCGATGAGAAAGAGAGGAGCCGAGAGAATCGTCCGCCGTCGATGGCAACCAGGCTCCGGCTCCCTTTATCTACTTAACCCCGTCATCTTCGGCGCGGACCTCCGTTTCCGGTGCTCTGACGCATAGCATACCTGAAACAATAGCGTTAGTTCGATCATTTACCCGATCAAGCAGCGTCATCGGGCACAGCCCCGTCGTCGTTGTTGCCCGCCGCTTTATCGTTCGTTTCCACCGAGCGAACTTTCGGTCTCGCGTCGGCATGTTGCAGCTTTGCATCTATCGAAATCTATCACCAGTGTCGTCGCGTCGTGTTCGCGTCTCTCCGGTCGAGCGTATCGTTTCGCTTCGTGACGTTCATCGATCGTATCTCGACTAACTTTGCTAAGAGCGAAGCGCCGTTAATTTCTCTCGCTGCCCTTCGAATGAAGAAATTACTTTGACATTTTGGACGTCGCGTTTACGGTCACTGCGCGATTAATTATCAACGTAATTGGATCGACCCGTTTCTCCGTTCCAGAAGTAAAGATTCTTATTATTTTGCTGTTATTGTGTAGATGATGATTGATTTTGATATGCTCAAATGTTTATGTATTGTGAATTTCAACATAAAAATTAACATACAAGTATCTATTTATCTATAAAAACGCTAATGCAGATAAGCTATTTTCTCTTTAGAAATACTTTGTTCGAAATGAACACTTTTATGTAAAATGAAAGAATATCGTATGAAAATGTGACTTTTTAACCTTTTTTTTATATTATACTTCTCAATATTTCCAGAAATTATATATATTTTTTATTGCAGTACTATTTATATGAACTTACATTTATAAAGTAATAAACGTCACGATAAATTTAATTACATCGCCGTTACAATTTTGACGAGCACGCTGTCAGTTAAAATAAGTTATTTCTGCGGATTTATAAATTATCATGAGCGCCGGCAGAATTTACGGGAACGAATGCGGGTGGAATGCAAATAGCACGTTTGTCACGTTTATGTAAGTACGTGTCACGTATATATTCGGCGATAAATTGCTCCTAAATGCATTTCCGCTTTAGACGCTTTCTGTCGCCGTGGGAGAAATTAATCACGCGTGTCTGCCGTCTATTATTTTATGACTTACGCGCATCCGCGGACAATATAACGATGTTACGGAGCTTGTAAAGTGGTTGGTCGATTTTATAAATACCGCATAAGTTCCCGCGTAATATGCACAGTACGGTTCGCGATTCACAATTTACTTCCGTTCATTATATATACACACGAGCGTTAAGCGACGATAAACCGCCAGTAATGTCATTCAGTTCCGCCTGAATATCCGGTCTTCGATCGCCATGAAATAATCAGAGCACTGCCCAGGTTATTGTGTCGCTCATCCTGTGATCATATATTAATAAGGGTGATTAAAATGGCAATCAATATATAAGTGTCATAAGCAACGTTTTAATAGTCTCAATTTGGGGGATATGTATGAAAGTTTAATATGATGAAAATACGATTTTACAATATTTGCATGCCTAATATTTTACGTGGTATAATTTGCTTTCATTTTTCAGTTTAAAAATTTAGTTATGTTTGTATTAAAAAAATTTCTGTTGCAAAAGGTACGCGTAATATACGAGTAAAATAAGAGATATATTATGCACATTCATATAAAGATATAAAAATTTTATATCTTGATTATTGAGCTTTAAACCTACATAATATAAAAATTCAAAATCCTATTTGTATAATTTTGTCATATAATATTAAACAATATTTGACAAGAAGTATTATATGCAAAAAATCTATCAGGAAGTATACGTGTATACAATACAAAGAAACATATAAAATTATGAATAAAATTCTATCTTGCATTTTATCGTAAAATATCGATCGTTTAGCGAGTTTTATATGAAACCTTTGTCTTTTCATTGGGAAATATTATTGAATACGCTTCTCCGCGGAATACCTTTGAATATCTTGCCGCGATGTTTCACAATCGTCTCGCTTCCATCGATCATCGCTCGTTTAACGCCGCGGATTAATCGAACTAAAACATCCGCCCCGTCGTCGTCCGTTTGTTTCCGTTTCATCAGCGCGCGAAGAATAATACGTTAACACAATGAACGAACGCGCAACTTGATTATCGATGCTCGCGAGTTTAAAGCAAACAGAACACGGAGACAGGACCCTCCCTTCGTCGTCGCGGACATATCGGGACGAGACGGCGAAGTAAAATGCGAAACACGAAGCTGGAGCGACGTCACGGTTCGTTATTGGCGATGTGAATCCATACCGGCATCGACAAGGGCGACCGCAGGGCGACGAGTCACTCTCTTGCACATAAGTGCAAAAAGTGTCTAATGGGGTTAACGTTAATTTGTATTCGCGCGCGTTATCTCTCGACGGTCTCCTGGTTTGTAACCTGCTTGCCTCGTTTGCGACCAGCAAAACAGAATGGCAATCCAAACTGTTGCCGTTTCCGCGGACAGTCGATGGAGAAACATACGATACATCTGCCGACAAGCAAGTTCACACATATGTTTACCGTAATCAGTGATGAATAAGATACATTTTAAATGTATCTCGATACAGATACAGATATACGCGTGGAAAAATATATCTATATAGATACAGATACACGAATTCAAATGTATATGAATACAAATACTCCAGATACATATCAGATATACTTTTAAATTAGATTTTATCATAATAATGGTAATATGCACAAAATGTACTGAATAATTCTTTATTAATATTTTTGTTTATATTACGACTTTATTCGTTAGTCTTAACAACTCTCTTGCGTTGAAACTATAAAAATAAATGTTTTATATGAGAAAAACGTTCTATGTACGTGATATCTTTTTACTTGTTTGACAAATAAGAGAGAACTTTTATTCCACCAGAATTGTCAGCTGTTTCAACTTGTAGTCTAGATCTTTAAAAATTTAAAGAATTGGGCAATTGAAAGAAATATGTGAAAATGTGTCTGAGAAAAGCAATTCAACTACCATATATGTTTTGTATTAGATATATATATCTAAATATTACCCAACACTGATCGTAATATAAATAAAATAAACCTTAAAAATTAATGATAAATGATTGAATATGTGTATCTTGCAACAGATAAAGCGATTCGATCAATTTTACTGTCTACCGATCCTGTCTTTTTGTAATTGTAAGTGTAAAACGTGTATTAGGATAGGTTAAAGGAAAGGGATATCGTGCCGATAAACGGCGCGTAAGCAAGGATGTTACGTGCATAGATTACAGGATAAGCAATGGGCGGTTTGTGATAAAGGCTGGCGTGCGAGATAATGCGGCCGAGATAATTATTTTTCAGCTACGACTGTTGGTAAATCTTATTTCCTTTTCGTGATTAATTGGCGGGCCCCGGGCGGGAGTGTGATAATGAATGCGAGATAGATAGGCTCGAGGTCCGAGAGAGGATGAAAAACAGTTCCTTGAATAAATGTCGGACGCACCATCTTGATGCGCATGAATGACGAGCGTACGGAGATATATGCAGATCTCTACTTGCGGGAAATTCTAATTATAAATTTTACTACGTGTTAAACGTCATTTCTTTCCTTATCTGTATAAAATGTTTTAAGAAAAAAAAACCTAGTAATAGTATTTGATGTCTTTATTTCAGCATTGAATTTTGAAATGATTAGTTGACTTTCTAAAAGAAAGAAAAAGTGCATGCTTTTCTAAAGTTTTCGTGTAAGAGAAAAGCTTTTATCTCTCTAATAAATTTAAAAAAATTTAATCTTTAATTTAAAAGCGAGTTTTTTTAATACATAATACGTTATGCATCTCTCGGTTTTTAAATTAAAAATATTCTGTTTCAATTATTCATTTTACAAAAAAGTTAAACAAATTACAAAAAAAAATGATTGAATTTCAGAATATTGATCTCCAATTTTATAAAAACAAAGCAATTTTTTGGACTACATGCGGAAGACTTTAATATTTCCCTATGTAATATAATTACTTGAAACAATATCTTTTCTCTCGCGCATTAATATCTCATCGTTATACATATATACAATACTAAAAAAATGATCGGCAAAACGCGTTAATCAAATCTTCGGAGTAAAACCGACAGTCGGCAGAAAGACGATACGGAAACTGGCTTGCAAAATTTGAATGAGTTAATGATCAAATTCGATATACGCACTATTTCTCGCATTCAGACGATGCTCTCGCATGCTTTGACGTTCGGTTCCGTTTGCGAGAGAAGCGTCAATAAAGGTTACCCACCTAGATACGGAATATGTAAGACACGCGCGCACATACGAGCCACCTCGGTGTACGGACAGATAAGTCGACGAATTCGTGAATATTCAGTGGCTCCGTCGACTTTCTTCGAAACCGGTTTACGACCCTCGGCCTCGCTTTTACGAATTTGTCAAGACGAAACGACTTCGCGCCGAATCGACGAGCCGTCTTTCTCGTATCGTCGTCGTCGCGTGCGGAACTTTTTGACTACCTGAAAAATACTCGACGATATCGCGGGAATAAGAGTCTGGAATCTCGCTTTAATAAACGATACTGCTAGAGTTGCATCGAGGAATAGTCCGAGTCTCGAACAATCAGATCGAAATATACATAAATCAGCACATTTGTGCATCCGATTATGATTAACTTGTTTTATTTGTTTATTCTTATTGTTAGCTTTTTATTTAGATCTGTAAATAACCCGATCACCGATATCTCGCGTCAGCAAAGTATAATTGAACGGCAGTGATTTGAAATACGAAAATATTCTCATTTAGCGAGCTAATGAAAGCAAAATCTATAAGTTGAATTATCCTTGAATTTCATTTCGTAACATGATGAATGGCGCTATGAATATATATATATATTTCGGTAATTATAAATCTATTTTTCTAATTTTATATTTTACGTTTTTTCTACCAAGGTGTCTATTCATCGGAGACATATAGGCTCGTCGGAATTATATTGACTTTAATTCCTGTTTACGCGCAATCGGCCTTCGCGCAAGATTGACGAGGACATTTATATTAAACAGAAAGTTGGCCAAAATCCAAAGTGATACCGGCACTTGCCGCCTCCCTCGTCGGTGTTATTTCCTGGTTATAAGTTAGACAGCGCGTCCCTGGGGTTATC